GAGAGAGAGAGAGAGAGAGAGAGAGAGAGAGAGAGAGAGAGAGAGAGAGAGAGAGAGAGAGAGAGAGAGAGAGAGAGAGAGAAACACTTGCACATACAGACAAAACGTGCGAGGTTTTACTATCGCAGCATATACGTAATGTCCATGGTGTGCGACCAAGTCGCGGTTACCCTTCTACCTCACTGCTCAGGTAATCCTTTCAGCCACTATCCACAGAATATATACCTGTTGGTCCCCGTACTTCACCACCACTTTTCACTATCCCTACAGTGTACTCATCATCACTCCTCTGGATCTCCCCTAGTCTTCCTTCCTTCGTCGTCCTTGTTACCGTCGATTTCCCGTATGCTTAAATCTGGAGACAGTCCCATCATATCTAATGATTGTCGTGCGAGTGTTACCGTACTATCGTCCCGTCTCAGTCGTATCTCACTCTAGTCTACGCTTATAATCTCACAGTCCGTGTACTGACTCGTATTTTTGTCATCGTGTGTCATTTTGTTTTGGTTTTGGTTCATTTTAGGGCCGTGGATTCGTTCTTTTTCAGGTGAGTTTGTTTCTCCTTCCTTGTTGATCGGTTTGTTTTCCACTCTCTTGGTTCTCCATATGATTCGCATGTTTGAGAAATGTCGGCGACATTTTCACGTCATTATATCTGTAGATCGTTTTTCGCTTTTTTTCGTGTATGCATGTTTTGTTCCTGAAAATATTTGTGTGTTTCGGAATTATATGTTTGTCTCGTCTTTTATATCTTTTCCTTTCTTTTTTGCTCGATATTTTTCGCCAATTTTTACTTTGGTCTTTCGGGGTTATATTCATCGTTTGGAGTCTCCTATCTTTCCAGGTACTCTATGAATTTGTCTCGGATGTCCGCGTCCCTGCTGTTTCTGATAAACGAAATTATTGCGGTCCGGGTTATCCTCCATGGGTAATCCATGAGTCGGAGTTCCCGTCCGAACATTTCGATTATGGGCGGCAGATCATCTGTCTCATATATGTTCGCTACCATTCGATGACATGTACCGATAATCGTCAAGACTTTGGTCCTTTCGGATCCAACACTCCTAAAGTGACGCAACGTTCTGAGAGAGAGAGAGCTTAATAACCCCTCTTGGAGTGTTTCTTCATTCTTCAGTCGATACATACACTTCAAGAGGGGTTCCTTGATTGATTTTGTTACCCTTGTTTCTAGGTATGTCCATTCCGTGTTTGTGTTGTTTGATGTGATTTCCAGTGTCAGAGATTGGTGGTAGCACTTTTGAAAAGACTTAATGCATTCCAACTCATTCTCTTGATTTTGGTTCCTTGCTATTATGATCATCATTACGTCATCCACAAACCGCTTACCATGGATGAGTTTCTGATCTATTCCAATTTGTGAGTACCATCTATACTCGTCAAACGCGCATACCATGTTAGCGATGGGTGGGCTAGAGCCTTTTCTCATCGGTACGCCCATCACCTGGCGTAGTATTGTGCCCTGCACTCTGAAGTATGCATGTTTGATGTCATAGTATAGTAGATCCATTAGCTGCTCGATTTTTACTGTTCTCCATCCATAGGTCCCGTTTGCTTTCCCAAAGTTGATATATTTTCCTCTTATTTTATAACACAAGTGTGTTTTCCGTTTCTCTTTTGACATATTCAGCATCCAATCCATTGCGTTTAAGATATGTGTATGATCAAGATTTGAAAACATGTCTTTGACGTCGTAAGTAGAGCAGATTACGACAACGTTTTCTCCATATGTTTCTTTAGCGATCTGGTTGCATTTCTTCAGTCTGGGTACTAGTTGGTTCGTTCCTTGTAGTGTGAATCCCACTTTCATTGCTTCACACATGAAATTAATTGCTCTTGATAGTACCTTTGATGCTTTTCGAGATGGTTCATTATACGTTGGCACGATTGGTCCGTCGTCTAGTGACGTCTTTGTTCTTCGGAATCGTATATACATTTCCGTACGATCCCTGGTCATCCCATTCTGCAATTGTTCGCAATCCAAGTCCATGATACGTGTTCTTGGCGAGTTCAATGATTTCCGACTCTGTTTGTTGTACAATTTTATAGTGAGTTGACTCTAGGAAGAATTTCCGTGTCTTTTCATACCAGACTTTGGGACATTCTACAAACGTTTCCCTAGGATTTTTGTCCAGTGGTGATAGGATAAACTGTGACAAAATTTTCTTCACCTTCCATACCTCCGATATGTCTAGACCGATTTCCGATTCATGCTTTTCATCGACACAAGTTGAGGCGTCAATTTTTATCTCTCTTGTCTTCTTCATCGGTCTTGGTATGTTTGTCAATGTTGTCACAATTGTCTTTCGTATTTCCTCTCTTCCAACCCTTTCGTTCATGTGGGGTACGTTTTTTGCGTTTCACAAGAGTCGATTTTCTGTGATCTCACTTAACCTGCAGGCAACATGGTTCTCAATTTTTGGAAGCAGAGATATTACACAGTTACATTTCGGTGCTTGCGTGAGCACCTGCCTGTGATTGTGCAATATTTCTCTGACCGTTCTTGATTTTTTAAACATGACACGCATCCGAGTTGTCAAGTTCTTCGCTAAATTGTTATTTCTAACGTTTTGCAGGATTGTTTCGGTTGTTGTGTTCCTCACTTGTTTCAGATTAATGCATGCGGCAAATGGTATCTTAAAAATTAATCTTTTCTTGATATTGAATCCAAATTTCTTTTTTGAAATTCGTGTGAAAATTCCTTTGATTGTCCCTCTTTGCTTCTTGCCGTTAATAACACGCAATATCTCATCCATAGATAACTTATATAATTCCTTTCGTCTCCATGGTGCCCTCAGGCAGTTAATCAAAATGTTTCTATGTTTGTTCGTTTTTGGTCCCGTGTGTACTAATTGAATCACACTGAAGATGCATCCATTTTCTATTCGTTGTCTGCATTCTTTTAGCTGGAATTTTTTGTTGTCAATTTCTACGATTGTTGATCCGTACGTTTGTTTGATGATTTTCCATTTTTCGTTCCACAGTTTTCCAGTTGTGTAGTGTATCATTGCTTTCGGTTGCAGTAGTGATGTCAACTTCATAGTGTATCTAGATTGAACCATTTTAAACAAGATAGGCACATTTTGATTTACTTCTCTGCTTCTGTTCTTCTTTCCTCTTTTTCGTCTTCTGTTCTTTAGAGTCCTTCTTCCTTTTCCTCTCGTATTCAGAAATGGATTTAGTCTCTTAATTAGGGATGTCTCCATACCTATCAGTTCTGATCTCACTCTAGTCCAAATAGGTATGAGAACATACTTTTCCCAACCAAACTTGTGTAGCCAACTATATAATTTCCGTTGTGCTCCTCTGCTCGGATTTTTGGCCAGATTTACGTGCTCAGTCCATTTTTTTGTCGGGCTGTCTTCCTGTCCTCCCCACGTACATATGTCTACACCAAGGTGATACTAGAACATACACACTATACGATGATGTCAGTAGCGTACCCATTGTTTGCGTCTGCGCTACCTAAAGATTAACTAGTTGGTTTGCCCATGGTATCTGTCCGTCCAATGCGAGCGATATAAATAAAAATCGATATCTCTTATTATACTCCTGACACTCGCTAGTCTTCCCTGTCTTCACTAGCTGTTCTATCTTCGTAGACAGTGTGTGTATCTGTTCCCACTTCTGCGCCGTGGCGAGGTTGCCCGATGCTGATATGTCATCTACCTTCCCGATAGGTCTTCCGCGATGGTCGATGTATCTGATGAGTCGTATTCATCACTTCCGCTGGACCTTGTGCTGAGACTCTCATAGTCGTCTTCCTGTGTATCGTTGTCAGTATTGTTGGACACTCTAATGTTATCCGGATTTGGCATGATCTGCGTTTCCAGGTCCGAATCTCGGTTGAAGTCTCTCCCCTTGTGGTTGATCAGACCCGGAACCTGCCTTAATGCCGAAATCGCTTGCAGCTTGTCCTTGTATCTGATGTCATGCAGCTTGCAGAGATACTGCAGATCCGTATAGTGCAGTCGCAGGAGGCGAGTGTCTGACATCGGTTCGACTCCGAAGTTAATGTTGCGTCTCGCCTTCAACCTGGCTGCAGTCACGTTTCGAGTGATCCTCGTGCGTCCCCTCTTAGGATGTGGAGGGATTAGGCGTCCAAGTCTGCTCCTGGTTGGTGCGCTTCGGCTCGGTATGCTTTGGCGTGGTGTACTCCGAATCGGGATGCTACGGCTCCTGTGCACCGAAACTGGCAATTCAGCAATCGTCTCCGCGTGCCCATTAGGATGCACCGAAGATGACACGATCGGTGTGAAGGTGCGCGTCGGCTCATTGATCTTTTGCAATGCGCCTTTCACAGCTGCCATATCGTACTTTAGGAGCTTCAAGTCATTGACCTCTTTCGGCACCTCCGATACCATCCTCTCCACCTTATCTTCAGCCTCAGCCGTCTTCATACCCGCTGTGCTTGGTCCAACTCGATTTTGTCCTCCTTGGTTTGCCTCTATCGGCTTCAGCGCGTCCTGAGTAAGTTCAGGTTTGGTTGTGTTGGTTCCATTGATCTGATGAGCTCCTCCCAGCTTCTGTGTGATCAGCTCCAAGATCTTGAGTACCTTATCCATCTCCCGGCATAGTTTAAATATCACCTCCTTCAAGTCCGCCGTGAACCAGGCTCGATTCCCTGGTGGGGGGAAATCATTCCTTCTTTGTTCCCACAACGGTCTTGTGAATCGCCTCGGAGATTCTGATTCCGCCCTTCTTCGCCTTGTCATTGACGACCTTGATCTATGTCTTCTCTCCCGCGGTGTTCTCGACCTCCCCCTTCTTGAGCGCTTCCTTCTATGAGATCCCGACGAGGATGATGAGTGCCTGTGCCGCCTTCTGTCCGACGATGATCGCGAACACGCCATCTTCCCTGAAGCTTGGGGCCGTCAAGTAGGAGATCGCCGTCCTTGGTAGAAAACCACGATCAAAATGCTTCAAAGTCAAAACGCGCTATAGAAAAACCGAATCTCCCCAAGTACGCTATGTAATCTCCACGCTAAAAAATCTCCAAATGATGTCAACAGCATAAACGTAATCAATGGAAAAGATAGCAAGAACCATAGATAAGATGCACAGAAAGATTGATGTAAGAATAGAAGAATGGAAGACAGTCGAGGTCCATCCAGTGCCGATTGTCGCGGGTACCGCCCACAAGTTCTAAGCACCGTGCATGGAGATAAACACTTGCAAATACAGACAAAACGTGCGAGGTTTTACTATCGCAACATACATGTAATGTCCATGGCGTGCGACCAAGTCGCGATTACCCTTCTACCTCACTTCTCAGGTAATCCTTTCAGCCACTATCCACAGAATATATACCTGTTGGTCCCCGTACTTCACCACCTCTTTTCACTATCCCTACAGTGTACTCATCATCGCTCCTCTGGATCTCCCCTAGTCTTCCTTCCTTCGTCGTTCTTGTTACCGTCAATTTCCCGTATGCTTCAATCTGGAGACGCTCCCATCATATCTAATGATTGTCGTGCGAGTGTTACCGTACTATCGTCCCGTCCCAGTCGTATCTCACCCTAGTCTACGCTTATAATCTCACAGTCCGTGTACTGACTCGTATTTTTGTCTTCATGTGTCATTTTGTTTTGGTTTTGGTTCATTTTACGGCCGTGGATTCGTTCTTTTTCAGGTGAGTTTGTTTCTCCTTCCTTGTTGATCGGTTTGTTTTCCACTCTCTTGGTTCTCCATATGATTCGCATG